TGATATGCTAGTAGGTGGGTGCTTTGCCTCCATACACATTTCTTTTGTTCTCATAACTACTGTGTAAGAGATTAGGTAACTGTAAGATTGAAACATCGGCAGAATGAGAGATGCCAGTGAATAATTTCCTCATTTACTTAACACCAAGGGAAAACCATTAAGAGCTTATGTTCTGTTCTAGACTTTGTTAAATTATTTCTGTTTATCTATTGAAAATAGGTCCTGAGGAGAAGTAAATCGCTAGTCATAATGGGGTAAACTCAAATTGCCTTATCCTCATGCTGGTGAAAATGAAATATATAGAAACATATAGAGGTGATGCATGGATTCAGCAAAACTTGGTAGCTGGACACGTATTTTCAGAGTCCTTGTGATATTCTAATAATCACCTAGGAGTTGTCTTTCAGATGGAGAAGCAAGCGCTTGTTAAAAGTTACTTGAATAGAGTCTTACTCTTTTAGTAGCAGTTGCCTTAAGGAGGTAAATAATCCATTTCCACACAGCTGCCCTTCAGCACTGTTGATGCTGGGAGTCCAGGGAGCAGTGAGGCTCCAGGAGCCACAGCCTGGCCCAGAGGTGTTAAAACCAACAGAGGAAAAGGTGAACAACCTTAACACCTCTGTCACTGCTGGGGAATTTGCCTAATTTGAGCCGCTCATTTAAAACCTCGAGTGCTGGTGATTTTAGCAGTGTTTCAGATGGCTCGGCCAGCTTCTGTCCCTGGAGTTGCAAATGCGTTCCAGCTTGGCGGCTTCTTCTGACAGTGGGGTTGTGGGGGCGCAGTGACCCCTGACGGTGCCGGGGGTCGGGCCCAGGTGGGGTTTGGGGGTTCAGGTGCGGGGCCGGGCGGGGTTTGGGGGTTCAGGTGCGGGGCCGGGCGGGGTTTGGGGGTTCAGGTGCGGAGCGCTCGGGGCCGGGCGCGCTCGGAGCGCGGCGTGCGCCACCGTGTGGCTGCGGGCGCGCACTGCGCCCAGGTGCGCCCCCAGCACCGCCCCGGCTGCGAGGGCTGCGCCAGCTCGGGACAGTGTCACTCGTGTCACTTACCTGTCCTCAGCTCTGAGATTCTGTCCCAGCTCGGGACAGTGTCACTCGTGTCACTTACCTGTCCTCAGCCCTGACATCCTGCCCCAGCTCGGGACAGTGTCACTCGTGTCGCTTACCTGTCCTCAGCTCTCAGATCCTGCCCCAGCTCGGGGCAGTGTCACTCGTGTCACTTACCTGTCCTCAGCTCTCAGATCCTGGTCCCTAGAAACACAAACCACAGTGCTGGCCGCTCGCTGCTGATGGGCGTCTTACTGTCCAGGTTTGTCAGGGCTAGGCTTACCAAAGATTAGGAGCATGGTGCTGGATTTAAGCACTGAGAGTTTGCATAAAGGAATTAGTGACATGTCTGCACTGTAGCCATCAAGGAGATGGAAGATAACCATGACTGATACTGGTGTCAGGACATGATTACAAGTGGTGATTTTCCTTGCTGCCCTGTGCTGTTACCTGCCAGGCAGGGCTTCACACACAGGGACCCCTGCATTAACTATCTCAGAGGCACAGGTAGTGACAGCATCTCTCAAAGTATCTAATGTAATTTTGAGCACAACCTGTGATTGATTGTTCTTGGAAACTTCCACTAGAATGGTGCTGTTGACATGGACATAAAAAAATAGGTTCTTGAAAACACCCATTTGTACCTTATATGGCTGCATGGAAAGGGTTAAAGATAAATATGTGTTCTTTAATACTATAAAAATAAACCTTCTTTTCTCGTGGGTGGTAAAAGGAGAGCTGGAGTTTACACAAAGCCAGAATTTCAAGGTGGCTGTTTGTGTTGTTACCAAAGATATTTCTAGCTTGCTTACAAAATGAGGGTTTTTTTAAATGCTTTTATTTTTGCAAGTATTCCGTCTAGCTTATGTTTTTGTGGCAAAAGTGTTACAGTTAAATTGCTGTAGAAGGTAGCTGCAAAATTTTTAATATTGAGTTGAACCAGTCTGGGTAGATTGTTTGCCATAATGTTTCTGTAGGGGGTAAAAAACATCTGTACATGGATGCTGTTCCTGCAGTAACTGCTATTCCAGAGGAGAATCAGGAACAATAATGGATATAAATCTTAAGGGTTTTTTTTTCCTGGAGGAATCAACAATAAAAAGTGCTTAGGCTGTTAAGATACCTGCAAGAATATCCTCACTCCAGAGCTGTCGCTTATCCGTCATAAATATCTCTTTCCCACATCCCCTCTATCTCCCTGGATGATTGGCTTTCTAGCAAAGCCTTCCGTAGAGGGTGTACTGTAATCCTTTTACGTTACTCCTTCAGTGCAGATTACGCAGCAAGAAATAATTAGGAGATTAATTTTCACCTGTCACTGCCAATAATAGATAACCTTGATACAGTGACAGGGCGAGGAATTTGGGGGGGGGGGAGCGGAAAAGCGTTTAACCCTGTAGGGATTTTGCTGCAGGGACCAGGCAGAAAATGGTTGCCAGAACATGACCTCCGTGCTCGCTGTCACGGGCAGGCAGAGACGCGAGAGGCTTTGAGCTGCGCCGGCTCCCGCGGATGCTCTGCCTTCATCCGCGAACGTGCGCCGCCAAATTCGCTCTGTGCCGCAATGGTGCCACACGCGCCTCGTGCTAATCAGCCCCGAGCAGCCGTCGGAGACCTTTGTAGCTCAGTCTTTTAATTCAAATGCAGTTCTGTTGCTTTTCATGATTTCAATTCCCAATCTGACTGGTATTCCTAGGCTGCGAGGGAAAGGAGCAAACTAATGAAGATGGCTTCATTAGGCAAGAGCGTGGTTTAGCCCTTGCTTCTCTCCAACAAATGCAGCTGAAAAAACATCCCAGAAGTAACCGGGCTTTTGGTCTTCAGAGAAAGCAGAGCTGAGGCGTTTCTGCTCCCTTTCAAAATTAATTACTAGCTCTCATCAGGTGAGCTTAAAAATGCAGCCTGTGCTCTAAGGCACTGAAGGTAAATGGGAAGGAAAAAAAAAAAAAGCCACTCCTCTCCCCCGCCACACACACACGTACTGGCTTCTTTTTAATTTTTTCTGTCTTTTGTGCTTAAGTTTACAATCTGTTGAAAATGTAATGGGAAACCAGCCTACAGAAAATGCCATTATTCATATCATCGTGAGCTCATTTATTTTATCTGCAATAGTAATGATAAGACAGACTGCTTGGCAATGCTGATAAGCTGAGAAATATCTTAGAGCTATTTGTAAAAGTTAAAGCAGATCTTGGTACTGAGAGATAGGGAAACTGATGAGCCTTTGGGCAATCTGCAGAGCTGAAAGCTAATAAAGATTTTAATAGGAAGGCCTCATTAGGATTAGGGAGATCTATTATCTGCGATTTACACAACACAAACAGTGGGGCAACTTCAATTTTTGCTTCTTTGTTCATTAAATACTATTGCTGAATGTGAAGCCTTTTAACTTGCATCTGGATCTCTTCCTCTTCAAGGAGCCATCACCAGTTGATGGTTGGGCAAAGATGAGAGGGGCAGCTGATGTGGGAATGTGTTTGCCACACAGGAGCAATGCCAGCAAGCCCTCATAGTCAGGGACCAGTCACTTGTTGGAGGTATAGAAATGCAGTTGTTTGCAGGTGCCTGGGTGGCAGGGTTCTCCTTAGTGTCTTCTTTTTTTCTGTTGTGAGCAATATTTATAAACTTCAGGCCCTGAGCAGCATCTTTAGAAAGAAATAAACACATTGCTATTGTGCTGCATCTCTGGATGGTGATGCTGAAGTATTGCTGTGGGATAGCCTGGCCACCCAGCTCAGCCTAGTGGAGTGGCTCCTTCATTAATCGTGATCACCTCACAGATCTGTTCTAGTAGAGGAGCTGTCTCCAGTGCCACTGGGGTTGCTTTGGTAGGAGTATGTGCCATGGGTGACCTGATCCAATGGTTTGATAGTTAAACACAGGACTGACTTTAGCACCATGTGCATTCTTAGATGTGTGATGTAGAAAACCTCACTTTTTGAGGTTGTGCAAACACCTCATGGGCTCAATTGCTTTAGTCCTCGTATGTTCCGGTGTGTGTAAGCTGCTGAAAGAACAGTAGTTTACCCAGGTTTACGGAAATATTTTTTTTCAAGGACCATCCAGGCATTTTTTGTGGTTGAACTGAATTGTAAAGCTGGAGCAGAAGCTGTGCTGGAACATTCTCTGGCTTGCATTTGAGGTCCAAACCACGTTGTAACCTGACTCTGCTAACCTGCAGGTGAAACTATTTTTACATGCAGGTGATGAGATCTAGCTGAACGTCTAATGCAGATGAAGAGCTTTGTTAGGTGATGTCCATGCTAGATGTGAGAGGCCACATGCGTGACCATATTTGTATTTGGGAGCTGTCTGTTTTCTTCTCTGTGTGGAGCACAAGTGTACCAGAGTCTCAGCTTCTCCCCATTTTCACGGCACAGACCAGCTCCTCTGCTGCTGGATTAGATAACCCCAGTGCTAGCTACAGTAAGATTGCTTCCATGGAAAGGTAATATTTGGAAAGACCGTTCTTGTATTTTCAGTTGCCTTTAATATGATATAGCAGCCAAAACCCAAAAGGGACCACAGCACCACAAGCCACAGAGAAGTCTATTCCAGACTGTAGTTTGAGTTCTGCTGGTTCAAACCAGTGTTCTCATAGGGCCTACAGAGAGCAGTGCAATGATAGATTTATCTCCAAGTATTCCATCTTCCGTGTGCTTAAGGAACTCAGAGCAGCTGGAGCTGTAATCCCCTCCCTTTGCCATCAGCAGTGTGGAGACAGATGGGCAGGGCTGGGAGCACCTCCTGCCCACGACTGAAAGAAGTTTCTCACTTGGGGTTGGTGTCAGTCTTTGTGCCTTGTTTGTAACCACTCACAGGTTCTGTCAGCACACCAGCATGGCCTCCGAAAGCAGTAGAGCTGTTTGCACCTAACGTGTTGCTCCAGCAGGGCTGCCATTTGAGACGTTTCTAATATTTATGTTTGATATGAATGAAACTTTTTGTTTTGTCTGTAGACCGCAACGGAACTGGAGCTGACTCGTATCAGGAGTGCCTTGATAACAAGCAAGGTATGAGATCAAGTCTCTCCAACATGGGCACTTGGGACTGATTTAGCTTGATTTCTTGCAGCTGAATTGGTTGCTGTCTCTGTCTTTTTCACTCTGTCTCCCTTTTTTTTCCAACCCCTTTTTTTTTCCCCCACTGTCTCCAAGCCAATTCACTGTTAACAGTTCCATGTCAGCTAACCTGTTAGCTCAGGCTCTCATTGCACATTTGTGATAAGTCTTCTTGTTTCTAGCACCCCAAACCCTCAGCTATTAATGGAGGAAGTGGGAAGATTGTAAAAACCAGAAGTAGCATGTGCACTTGCTTGCAGCTGTCTTCTTCCTCGAGGTTTAGTTGCACAGCCAAGCAGAAAAATATTAAAGTTGAGCTAAGGGAAGGCACATGCTAGGCTAGGTTACCTTAACACCAGACATCCTGTTACAATTTGTGTGCTGACATGCTGCCTCAGACTTGTCCAGCCTGCTGTCTTCTGCCATGCTACAGTTGGTAAGAGCTGGAAACATCTCTTGTGACTTACAAGAGAGTGATGACAGTGAAGGAGGAATTTGTTATCCTTTTGCTCTAAACCTGGAAACAAGAGTCACATCAGAAAAAATGAAAATTCTAAGAAGTACCTCAGAAACAGGACTTGAACAGCAAAATCATGGATGCTGTATTTAGGAAAAGGGTTGGTGTGTTGTGCTCTCTTCAGATACCCTCTCTGAGAACTGCAGGCAGAAGTGGCCCTCCATCGCTGTAGCCATGTAGTAAGTGTTGAACCTTGTGGTAATCAGGGAGCATAAGCACCCTTCAGTCCAGAATAGCATTCGTTGTGAGCCACAGCCAAGAGATAAGAGGAAATGCTTATCCTAACCAGGTTATAGGCATCAATTACAGGTCAACTTTTACCCTGCTGTTGACCCAGATCTGTGACAGTAGCTAGAATGATAATTTCCTGAAATTCTGATTCTTCTTGCATAATTTTCTGAAGTAGGACCAAGAAACATAAAAAAAACCTGTCCCAGTTTTGGTGCTTGGTTGGGTTTAATTTTCCACAGGTGTCTCTGCTTTCAGTATCCATCAATCAGTGTTACATGTGCTTTAAGTCAAAGCTGCCATGAAGTGCATCTCCTCTTGCTTGTTGTTGGGTTTGGGATGGGATTATTTGTGGGGGGTTGGGGCTTCTTGCTTGTTTTATTTCCCTTCTCTCAAAAAAAAAAAAAGGTATGTTGTTTCTTTGGTGGCCTTCGTGGTCATTTCTTTTTCACTATTTTACTCTACTGACTGTAGTAAATACCTAATCATTGCTAAGCTTTCATTTCAGAAGTTACAACTGGAAGACTAATGTGGAAGAACTGTAATCAATAATGGCAATTCTTATTAGATTAAGTTTAAAAGTCTTGTAGACCAGTGTAATTCAGAAGGCTTCTTTGATAGATAATTTGTTCTTAGGAAGAACAGTTTTCTCCGGTAACATTTTTCTTGTTGGCTGAGGGAGGCTGATCCACTTGTCATTTTGTAGAAAGCAATCAAGTTTCATATTTAAAGAAAAAATGAGTATTCTCATTTTTGGAAACTAATTGCAGTCCCTTTGATGTGCCAGTTACCCTGATTTATCTGACAGGTGGTATTAAACGGCATTATATCCATTACTTTCATTTGTCTGTTAATACTCCAGATTTTTCTTGTAGTGTGATTGGTTTCTTTGGCTTCAGTGTTAACACATGAACAAACTGTATCATTGTAAGTACTTTCAATCCAGTTTGAATTGGATCTGGTTCGGGTGCATCATGGTGTTTAAAGCAGCAACCTTTAAGAATGCAGAGCTTTAAAGGAAAAAGTATACACAGTAACTTGTAGTCATCTCTTACTGACTCCGTTATATTTTGTGAGCGTGCCTTAAAGTTGAATCCTCCGTTTGCAACAATTTACAGAATATAAAATACATAGCTGACAGTGGACCCATAATTTTGGTTGTTTCTGTTACATTCAAAACAAAACACCACCAAAGGCTGAAAGTAGCAGTGGCTTTTTAAAAGTATTAAATCTTCAAGCTATGTGAAATGCTATTGCCATGGATTCCTTTTATAACAGCATGCTTGTCTCCTGGAAATTATGCTATAATGAGGTTTGGTTTATATATTTTGCCCCTCTCCTCATTAAAGTGCTATCTCTCAGAAGAAGCGCTTTGTGTTTTGAAATACTGCACGGTTAAAATGAAGGCAGGTTTATAACGATTTAATGTACTTGGGAGCCAAGGTTTTGCAGCTTTATGGCAAAGATGTTTTAACAAAGGGCTTTATGGTAAGGGTGTGCTGTATTTTAGTCAGACACTTGCTCAGGGGAAAATTTTCAGTGTGAGCACGTCACAGCAGCAAGGAGAAATTCAGAGGGAAACAGATCTCTGAGATCCAGTCACCGGCTTGGCTGATGATATTAAGGCTTAATTCTTTGCAGTTTCAAGTCCTGAGTTTTCTTTCTTTCATCTTGTCACTCAAGAAAGACAAAGCCTTGTGCCATATCATGTAACATCACAAGCAGGCCATTTCTGCTTCCCATTTTTGTGCCCCAAGGTAGGGTGCAGGAGTGCGGACTGGGAACAGCCACAGGTGGGATTATTACACCCTCTCGGAATGGAGCTTGCTTTTTCAGCCTTGTAACTCCCAATATTCATTATTAAAATTGTACCCTAAAAGCAAGGCATTTTCTGAGCGTTTGTGGTTTGGAAGTAGAGAGGGCAGCAGTTCAGAGCAGTTGCCCATCCACTACAGCAGAAGACGTGTCCTGGATCTTCCTGTTTCTCTGGGATACACTTAATATCCCATGGTTTCCTGAGAGCCAGGGGGTTCTGCCATGGAAAACAGGTATAAAATTACTACCAGACATAGTTGTTTCTGGAGCTTCTCAATAGGATCTCACTGTTATTGTTAATAAAACAGTGCTGGTGTAGAGGTTTAGGCAATGAAAAGCCCTTAGTGAGGGCCCTGGTGGCAGCCAGGAGACATCACCTCTCATCCTTGAAAGTGTGTAGAGAAATTAAAACTGACTCCAAGAGTTTCATGTTAGCATGTGTAGCACCTTCTCCTATTCATAGGAAATGGTGTTTTACTTTGCTTGAGCAGTCTTCTCTGTGTCCCCATGCCCTCACTCAGGTGGGCTGGTAATGGGTATTTTGCCCTACTGGGCTCCAGCTTTCCAAGCAGAGCTCCAGGTTCCTGCTGGAGGAACCCAATACCTTTCACTTTTCTAACTTGCCCTGAGTATTTCCCCACACTTGAATTAGGTGGTATTTTTCCAAGATGCACATGGCTTCATCTTCTTGATGGCACTATTAACTCTTTCTATTTTTCTTCGGATATGTTACACCACTTCCTGAGTTCAGTGCTGCTTGCTGCTGGTTGATTTTCTTAGCTCATCTCAGGAGGGAGGATGAATGTAATTTGGAGCAGAGTTTGGGGGCCAGGAGGAAGGATGGTTAATGTTGCCAAGGATCAGAATGTGGCTGCAGTTGAGCCAGTAGCACCTCTGAGGTGATGGAGGACCAACTGCTTCTCCCTTGGGTTTGTGCTGTGAGTGGATCCCAGCTGAACTGCTGAGCACAGATAGGATGTCTGTAGCATCAGGCTTGATTTTGAAGTAGTGGCCATAAACCAAAGACTTTTTCATGCTATTTGCAGTCCCCTGGGCTGTGCACTCCCAGTGTGTGTCATCTTTTATTAGGCTCGATGCAACCAATGACCTTGTTTATGTGAGCACATTAAAGCACAGCATTAATAGCTAATTTGACTACTCTGGATTCAGCCAGGCTGCAATCAATCACTTGAACTCTCCTGACAGTAAATATGGTTGGATGGGATTAAGGAGAAAGGATGAAATGCCTGCTTGGGCCAAAACTCTAGGAAATTGGAAAACTGCTTGTGAGCCTGTGTAGCTGATGTAACTGTAGCACTTGGTGGAAACGTGTTCTTCACTGGAAAAAAAAACCTGCAAAAGTGAGAAATGTGTGGTCTTCACAGAGATGTGTTCAGCTTTCTTCCTGCCTGTCAAATACTGGCATGGTAAATGAGACCACCACGGTACAGAGGCATCTTTTAGAGGATGTTATTAGGGTAAGTTCTAACCTGTTCCAGTTTTTGGATCCCTTTTGATCCCCAGCAGGATTAGTTTCAGGATGGCAAAGATGAATTATTGAGCAGATAAATAAAAATGGCAGACTGGCATATATCTGGACTGGAAAGTGTGGTCAAAATAGTTCTGTCGCTGAAGATGTTATTTCCATTAAATGTTTTGAGATTTAATATTGATTTCAGTGAAATTACCCTTGAAAACAGATTTCGTCCAAACCTTTTTTTTTTAATATATTTGTTTTGGAACTATTTTAGGAGGCAGAAAAATGAAACTCCAGCTTCAAACAGTTTTTATGTTTTGAAATCGGCTTTTTTCACTGTATGAACAATTTTTAAAATATTATTGTTATTTGTATTCCAGTCATGCCTGTGCACTCTAGTTATGGGCTAAACGTCATTTTGCCAACCACAACTCAGACTGGGGGGGATCAGTTTCTGCCTGAAAATGCTTTGGGCGTGTATTTCTGACGGGCTTCATTGATTGCCAGTGCCTATTTGAAGAAAAACCCAACAACATTCTCATTTTACAATATGTTGGCTGCCTTTTTGTTTAAAGAATTATAAATAAATCAGCAGATTTTCCACAAAAACACATATGCTTTCTTCCTGATGAGCGTGATGATGCACCAAGAATCCTTGCAAGAGGCCTTGAGTCTCCTTCAAGTAGAGGATAGGGCTAAGGCTGAAACTGAAATAACTCTCTCCTTTAAGAAGGATGCTGGTGGAGCCTTGTTAGCAGAAGAATTGCCATTTCTGACTAAGTTTTTTTTTTTTTTTTTGCTAGCCTGGGAACAAAGAAAGAAAGGAGGAGGCAGAATAAAAGCCTGTGTGAGTGTATGTACTGCAGCTCTCTAGACTGGTAATGGTATCTGGAAAGGGTCCAGGCTGTTGTAAAT